TACGGCAATTACATACTTCGTGAACCAGCAGATTATATTCATTAAGTGTTTGTTTCCTTTCTGGGTTACTGGGAATGGTCCTGCTAAATCAAGCCCAACTTTTGCGAAAAGTGTGTTGGATGGGACCATATACATTTCAGCTCTGTACGGAGGATTAGGTGAATGTCTTAATTGGCAAGTTATGCAGTTGCGCGTCCATCTTAAAATGTCGGAGTGCATTCTAGGCCAGTAATATTTTCTACATTTTTTGAGAGTTTTCTTTAAGTCCATGTGTCCCCCGCCTAATTGTGATGAGTGGAATGAATCAAAAATTAGTGCCCTAAGTGAGGCTGGTATGAAAAGACGTGGTTTCAAATCACCTATTTTCTGATAGAGGACCCCATTTGATAATTCAAGGTTCGCTGCTGCTAGTGTAAAATTTTCTTCATCCTCTGTGGGAATTTCTTTTGGAATTTCTCCTGAAACTATAAACTTAGCAAAGGCTGAAGCTTCAAAATCATCTTCCTGTTCTTTTAAAATATTGATTGAATATCTTTGCCCGTCCTGTCTTTTTAGCGTTATTCTCGGAATATAATCTTCTATATTTAAAATTTCATTTTGTTGTAGGTTGAGGCATACTGGGAATTCTGCTATGTCTTCTAGCTCTTTACTTTCTGTGTCTTCTTTTGTGATGGCTCTTGAGAGTGCGTCAGCTAATAAATTTTCTTTACCTGATACGTGAACAATTTTTATGTTGTAATTCTGTAACTCTATTAGCCAGCGCGCTAGATTCGGGTGTGCTTGTGCCTTTTCCATGAGATATGCCAGCGGTTTATGGTCGGTGTGTAGTTCTACTTCTGCCATGTATATAAATGGACGAAATTGACGCAGTGCATAAATAATCGCGCCTAGCTCAATTTGTACTGGGGGCCATTTGCGCTCTGAGTTTGATAAGGATCTGCTACAGTATGCGATTGCTTTGTAAGTGTTTTTCTCTTTATCTTTTTGCATGAGTGCTCCACCCTGTCCAGTTTGCGATGCATCCGTGAAAACATGAAATGGTTCATTGTAGTTGGGAAATACAAGAACTGGTTCGCTGCTTAAAATCTTTTTAATTTCTTCAAAAGCTTTTTGCTGTTCTTCTTCCCATTTAAATGTGATTTCCTTTCGTGTGAGTCTAGTGAGTGGCTCAACAATCATTGAAAAGTTTGGTATGTGTTTTCTGAAAAAGGAAGCCATCCCAACACAATGTCTTACTTCCTTGAGGGTTTTAGGTACTGGAAGGTTTGTTATTGTTTCTACTTTGCTTAGACTTGGGGAATAGCCTGAGGAATTAATTGTGTGTCCTAGAAAGTTCATTTGGGTAGAGGCTAGTATACATTTTTTCGGGCTTACTTTCAGATAATATTTCCTTAATCTGTCAAATACTTGCCTAAGGGCATCGAGATGCTTTTCAAATTCAGGAGCTTTGGTAAAAATTAAAAAGTCGTCTACATAAGCTATGACACTATCTTCAAGTCCACTAATTACATGTGCCATTACACGTGCAAACGCGCTTGTCGCATTTTTAAGTCCGAAAGGCATGTGAGTCATTTGATAAATTTCATTTTCAGTTATGAGTCCACATTTGCGTGACGCTCGCTCAGTGAGCCTAATTTGTAAATAGCCACTGGACAAATCTAGCAGTGAATAAAAGCTACAACTTCCTACTTTTTCCATAATTGTTTCAAATCTAGGAAGTGGAAAGTGGTCCGGAACAGTTATTTCGTTGAGTTTCCTAAAGTCTATGCATGGTCTGAGTCCTCCGTCCTTTTTCTGGACAAGAACAATGTTTGAAACCCATGGTGTATCAGACTTAATTAAAACCCCTGATTTAAGTAATTTGTCAATATGTTCGTGGAATTCTTCTTGATACTTAAATGGAACTCTGTGAGGTCTAGTAGAAATTGGTTCATCAGTGGTTGTAATTATGTCATGCTCCCCTACTAAGCATGACCCAAGATCATATTGACTTTTACTAAATATGTCAGAGAATTCCTCGCATAGGTCCTTTAATTTTTGTAAGTCATTTCCCGTAACGGAACTTTTTGAAAAATCTATTTTAAAAGCAGGGTCTTCGTCTAAAGCATTAACCATATTTTCAAGTACACGAAATTTATTTAATTCACTAAAATTATTTTTAGTATTTTCTGTTAACCACGGCCCTTCATCACTTTCCTTTAGTTCATTAGCATAGGCTATGTGCATGCCCTTACAAATATGTTTAGGGGCGTTAGTTGGATTTGTTATTAATAAACTAGCAATTTTGTCGGAAGCTTTAAATACAGTACTAATTAGACCGAGATTTTCAGAACTTAAGCGTTCATCTAATGAATGTGAAATTGCATGTTCAAAGTCGCAAGTTGTTTCGAGTTTCGCATTGACTATTTTATTTGTCCCTGGAGGAATTGTTATAGATTCAAGAGTTGCAATCCTAACATTTGTTAATAAAGGTAGGTTACCTGTGCCCAAGTTTAGTGATTTATTTCCAATCCAAATTTTACCTTTTGGAAAGTCAAAAGTTACCGTCGGCAATGTTTTTAGTACGTCGCATCCTATTATTAATTGGTAATTTCGCCTCTCAATTAATTGATTGTCCTCTACGAGATTAATTTTAGCAATTTGTTTATGACCACTTATATCCATAAGAACGTGCATTGATGCATTAGCTGAGATTTCATGCCCTGAGGCGGAGGTTATACCTATTTTTGTGGGTTCTATACTTGCTTCTAAAAATTTAGCTAAGGATAGAGGAGCAATTGAAATGCTTGCACCAGTATCAATTAAGCAGTTAAGCGGTTTATTATTAATTAAAATTCTTGTGACTGCGGTACTCGGATAGACTGAATTTATTTGATGTCCTATTGTAAGTGTGTTGACTACTTGATCCGGTGTTATGTCTGGACTAGGATACTTAGATACCTTGGGGATCCATGATTTAACCTCTTGTTTGTTTTCTTGTCTCAAGCCATTTTCTTTTATGTCATGAGAGTGATTAGTAGATGCCGTAGCATCCAAAGCTTTTTGTGTATTATTAAGTACATTTTTCCCAATTAATAGTCGGCCTAAACGCCCATCTCCTAAATAGACTTCTAAAATTTTCAAACCCCAACGAATAATTAAGTCTAAGGTTAGGATTGAGATTAAAATTGTTGCTATTACTTTCCAAGCCCAAGTATAGTCACCTAATACTTCTTTTGTTAAATTCATGCTTGCTTCCTTCCACTGTTCTGAAAGTGTTTTGGTTATAATCATGTCTTTACTTTCAATTCGGTATGACAGTTCACTTAATTTGGCAAAGTTAGTCATGTAAGTGTGAGTGTTAATGTCTGTTAGGTTTACTAAGACTAGTTGGTGAAATGAGTGGGCCTTAATTTCAGGTATGTCAAAAGCCCTTAATTCATTCTTTTTAATTAATCTTGGATGGACCGTTTTTACTTCCCCAGTTAGTTGATTAATTTCTAAAGTGTTATGGTTCAGTTCTAAAATTAAATTTTTAAATTGTGCACATGGTGCTTTCTTTGATGTTGGTTGAACTATCATTGTCGTTGGGTCTAAGAACGCCAAATGTGTTTGATTTTCAGTAGTTAGTTGAATGGGAATGAGTTCAAAACATTCTTCTAAATTAGTTGGAATAAAATTAAATTCTTCCTCTTTTAGTGCAATACATGGCCAAATTCTTAATAAAGAGGAGCCTTCACGTTTTGCAATTAAATAATTATTTCCAAATATTATTCTTGCAAGATCAGTGGGATTAGAAATAAGCGAGGCTAGTGCCCATCTTTTTACTTCTTCTAAATGGTCACAAAGTGCTTTAAGTGAGTGAGTAAAAGTAAATGTTAGTGTTTCGGCTAGTTGTGTGTCAAGATACGTTAGTTCAGCAGCCATTTCAGGCGAAGTTACTATACCCAGTTTTTCAGTGTTTAAGCTTCTTTTAGGTCTTGTCGATTTTATTGTTGTGGCAAATCCTTGTTCTGAGACTTCTAATTCTATTCCACAGTCAGTTAATTTATTAGTAGGTTTACTAAAGTGCAGTGCTAATTGTGCATCGTCTGAAAGCCAAGTATTGTCCAAAATTTTCCCATTATACTCCCCAAACTTTAAATATCTACATAATTGATTTTTATTTGGGACCCATTCAAGGACCGTTTTATCTTCCAATGTGCAGTTACCTATAGCATATGAGCAGTTATTCGTGCTTCCTAGTGGAGTTCTAATAACAGGCTCGCCCCAGTGTGAGTTAATTTGTAAATTAAACAATAAACAATTTTCGACGGATACAGTGGTCCACCAAAAGGAACCTAGTAGCCACATTTTTGGACTAACATCTAATTTATTTTGTGTACTCCAGATATCATTTTCTTTAGTCAATGCGCCTAAACTACATTGCTTTTCTTTAATCATACGCGTGCATTCTTCTTTTGTTACTTCTAGCATTTCTGAACCTATTGCCTCATTAACAGGTACATTAGAAAGTGTGGTAAATTTTCTAATTGATTTCTTTATTTTTCTACAAGCCCAACCTTCTGTGGTATACTCTAAGTCATTTAAAACATATAGAGACCTGGTTTGTGGTACTGGTATGTGTGACACGTTATTTTCTAGCGATGGGCAGTGCGCGAGTTGTGGTAATGCCCAAATCGTTGATTGTTTTTCCATTTGGCAAATCATAGGCATACGAGGTGTCGGGACGCTAAATGTTGCGCCGCATGATGTTATTAGTGCAATTAGCATTAGTAAAGGAAATAGTTTTGGTCCTATGGATTTCGATTCCCAAGAAGAAATTTTTATTTCAGACTCCTTTTTAGAAGGATTTTTATTCTCATTTGCTTGTACTGGCTTTTTATTCCCAACTTCAATGGAATTTAAATTTTGCTGTGATGGTCCAGCCGAATTTTGAGAACAAGTTTGTAGATTACGAATTCCCGTTAAAATTTCTTTTAATAAAGTATCACTATACCTTTCATCTTTGCTTTGATTAGATGTACCTTGTACCATTTGAGGATTTCCATTTTGTCTGTTCATGTAGTCAGTCAAGCGGGTACGGCAATTGGCGGCAAAATGTCCAACTTTTTGACAGTAGTTGCATACAGGTCGATTATTCCATCGTCGTTCGTTGTCAGGTGCTCTTATTTGTTGTCGACTTCGGTTGTTGCCCTGAAAATATCTAGAATTATTTTGGTTTCTTGGATAAGACCCGTTTGGATTGTATCTCCAGCCATTTCGAGGTTGTTCTCTGTTTGGATTAGTTTGATTCAAAGTTTGAAACCTACCTGGCTTGATCATGTAATTGGATTGTTCTTGTTGTACGGCGTTCAGTTGAGAGTGTTCATGTTGTGTTGCATTGAGAGGAGCATTTCCACTAACAGCCGGGAGCATTATTTCAACTTCTCGAGCGTCCATGCATAGTTGTTCAAAACTTCTACCAGTTTGCGTGAAGTTTAATAATTTCATGTAGAACGAGATGCTTGGCTTTAGTCGTTCAAGTAGAAGTTCACATAAATGTCGTTCTAAAGCAGGACCTTCATAATCAGTTGCTGTTGCTAAAGCAATAGGTCTAAAGCGTGCCAGAAAGTCTTTGACATTTTCATTTTCATGTTGTTTGCAAAAGGAGAGTGCCTGTCGGGAGAGCACTCGGCGTTGTGGCGAATCTAGTTCTTTTCTAATAAATTTAATTGCATCTTGGACAGTTGCCTTTTTAACAGGTTCTAGTTTTTCTAAAATTTGTTTTGGAGTGTCTTCTAAAAATAATGAAAGTCGATTTAATTTTTCTTCCTCAGAAAGTTTTGCCCCAAATACTTTAATTCTTTCTAAAAACTTTTTACTCCATTTATCAAATGTTACCAGACTGTCTTCAGAGTAGATTTCCAGAGGCGGTATTCCTTCATGGTGAAGCATATTGATAGTGTGTTCAGTATTTTGATCAATGTTGTCGTTCCTATTGTCATCGTTGCTTTGGATGTTAATGTTTAGAGCAGCGTCGCTTTCATCTGAAAATGTTAATATTTTACTTTTCGGTGAGCTCTGTGGTTTTCGGCTTATAGATCTTATTATGGGTGACAGTGATCTAGATTTTTCTTTGGTCCGGGCTTCCATTCTTTCAGCACAGCTTTCGATTTGTGTCCCTAGAGTGGCAAATCCAGTGTTTACTTCCTCTGCAAGCTTGCTTAAATTTACGGAATTTTGATTGACCTTTCGATTTATAGCCCTTAGTGATCTATTAACTCCTTCTTCAAGCCTTATTGTATCAGAATGAACCTTTTCCAGATCAGTCATCTTGGCTTGGCTACTTAAGATTTTACCTGACATTAAAAGCTTGTCAACAACATTGACAGAGATGTCTTCTGTCTGATTAGATTTGCTTGATAATGCACCAGCATTAGCAAGATAATTAGTAGGTACCGAAGTACCCATTGGAATATTGGATGCCGAAGCACCAATGTTCGGAGGATCCTTGGACCCCATGTTAAGAACGTTTTTTTTTGAGAGAGAGAGAGAATTTGTTGATTTTTCTTTAATACACAATACGACTTATGAGTGAGATCTGTCCCTTTATATATCCCTTTTATTTTATTGGACTTTATTCCTTGTTGTAATAGTTTGAACAAACAAAAGTTTAAAGCTTTTTATTCATTAGCTTAAGTTTGTTAACGTTCCCAGGCTTTTGTAATAAATTTATCTTATCGCTTTTCAATTAATGCAATTTCTCAAAAGGAAAAAGAAATTATTATTTTTTGTTGTTGTAATGCTTGAGAGCGAGAGCTTTGATCTCTCAGCAAAATTATTTCCGCTGAAGGGGAAGAAAAATTGTAAATGTGCACAAGAGCAAACGCCAAATTTATAAAACGCCATAACTCATAGCCCAAAATGTCACTAAAATTGATTGCCAGGCATTGGCCTTAAACATCGGGATCTGTGAGGATTAATTTTATTCAACTCGACTTTGTTTAATTCTGATTGTTTCGGATTTATTGACTCTGGATTTATTCAACTCGGATTGTCCCTCACACACACGTTATTGTTATTTCTTATTTATTTATTTAAGTAAATACACACATTTATTTATTTAAATAAATACACACACAACCCCTCATTTTGGACTTTGTTTGAGTAAATGTGGTTAACTATTTATTTCACATTCCAATGTGTAAGTGGAAATAAAAATTCACGAAAATTCACGCGAGGGGGGAAAAAATTTTACGATAATTCACGAGAGTGGAAAAAAATCACGAAAATTTTACGAGAGGGAAATTAAACTGTCATATATTTAAAAATAGAAAGTAAAAAAAAATTTTTTAATTGGATTGAAAATTTTCGGACAAAATTGTTGAGTTTTTTTTGAAACTGTGTCAGTTAAAGGAATAATCAGAATAAAAAGAAAAACATTTGTCAATTGTTTGAGAGAGGAAATACAAAACATTTATTTAAACAGACTTTTCTTTGTAAGTAAAAAAACTTATCGTTAATTTTTCCATTGGGAAGTGAATTGACTAAAAATAAGACTAGACTGACTTCTCGGCTTTCAAATGGTCAGTGTTGCATATAACTTTTTCCATTAAATTTGACAGTAACTTAAGACGCTTGTTTTGCAATTTTTAATCCAAAAAAAACTTGATAAAGACATGTTTTTGTTTCCATTTGCTTTTCAATAAAAGAACAACAAATATTTAGAAAATGTTTGTTGTTGTTGTTGATACTAGAAAATGTTTGTTGATACCAGAACATGTTTAATTACAAAACAAGCACCAATTTTTAAAGCTCTAATTTTATAATTTATGAAAGCAAAACATTAAGTTTGTAGTGTAGTTGGAAACGACTAGGTTTTGAGTCTATAAAAGAAAATGCGACGAGGGTTCGAACCCCACCGGTTGTAAGAATTTTTTTTTTTTTGAAAATGAACTTAAAATACAACAGTAATACATAAAAGACTGAAATTAGGCCTGTAATATAATCAAATTTAATTCACAAAACAAGCAAAAAAAAAATTTCTTGATTAATTTTAGGAATTATGGATTTAATAAAATTAATTTTCTCTCTAATAGAATTTTACTAGTATGTATTATTAACAGACGAATAACACTAGAAAAGGAAAGAGGTATTAACAGAGGATTCTGTATAGAAATAGTAAGAGATGAATTAAAGCGCTAATAAACAAAATACAGAATAAGAAAAAAAAAATTTTTCTCATTTTCAAAATGACAATTTTTCGGATGAGCCCTCTCTTCTTTTTCACTTTACCCCCAAAGAGTCAGTCTACTTAATTTTCATATTAAATTTTATTTTCCAATTAGACTTGGACTAGTGTTTATTGTAGCGAAAATAAAGTGAGAAATAAAAGAAAACAGCAAAATGTGTGTGAGAAAAAGTAGTCGTAATAAAAACTAAAAACCAGTGACTATTTTTATTCTTTTGTATTTTCGATTTAAAATGGAGAAAGGTTAAAAATTAGCTCGATTTAAGAATGGAGAAAAAAAAATTTTAGACAAGAATAAAAATTAAAGGAAAATTTTCTCTCATTTTCAAAACTCAATTTTCGGCTCTTTTTTTCATTTTACCCCAAAAAGTCAGTCTACTTTATTTATTAAATTTTATTTTTCAATTAGAATTGGATTAGTGTTTATTGTGGCGAAAATCAAATGAAAAATAAATAGAGAAAACAACAAAATGTGTGAGAGTGAATAGTTGTAATAAAAACTAAAAACGAGAGACTATTTATATTCCCTTTTTTTTAATAGAGAAAGGTTAAAAATTAGATAGATTTAAGAATAGAAAAATTTTAAAATAGCAAAAACCTTTAAAAATAGAGAAAAATGGAGAAAGAATTGGCGAGTACAGTAAAGGAATTGTTTATTAAAATTCTGTTATATAAGTCGGATTTTTTTTGGGAGCCAATCAACACTTGATAGTCATCCGTGTCGAGTGGTTTCTCATGAGTCTGCACCATATACTCTCTAGAATGAGTGTCAAGTGCTTTTCAAACAAAAAAATTTTTTTTGAAAGTTAATATACTTAACACTTGATACGGATGTCATGTAGGAGGGTGCACTTGACACCCGACAAAATACTCGACACGGATGTGGAGTAGCCTAATTTAACAACATTTAGTATGTGGCAAAATCGCTTTCACGGGATCCTGTAATTTTTACCATTTATAAATTTTAGTTTCAATTACAATTTCAAAAACTGTTTTGTAAATGTTAAAATTAATTTTCAAAAAAAAATATTTTCCGGAGAAAAAATAAAAATAAATTTTATGTAGCATTGAAAATACACAAATGAAAGATCAATTCATTTTCCTTACTAAAAATAATATAAAATGAGAAAAGGCTGACTTTTTCTAAATGCAAAAAGGTTTATTTTTAACCGGCTCCGTCTGACACGACTGGCAGAATTAATTCTTATTTCTTTTAGAGAAAGAAGAGAACAAAAAAAATTGTTTAAAAATGCAAAGTGAATAATAAAAATGAGCAAAACACAAAAACAATTTTTATGAGTAAGAAAGACTGTGTATAGGCCAAACAACAAAATTGTATTTTTAAAAAGGCGAAAATTTTTTTTTTTAAATTTCAAAAGCCGTAGGCCAAAAGATCACTTTTTTTGCACAGTCTGGGGGTTGCCCCTCTCCACTAACCACCCTCTGTTTATAGTCTAGCCTTAAATTATGGTTTTTGACAGATGAGAGAATAAGCACAAAGTATTTTTTTTGAATAAGAAATAATAGATTTTTCAAAATGGTCTTTTTCAAAATGGTCTAACTTGAGAATGGTAATTTTAGAAATGGTCAAATTTAAAAAAAATCAATTTAAAAATGGTCAGATTTATAATGGTAAAATTTCTAAATGGCCAACTTTAAAAATATTTTTGGAAAATTAATTTAAACGGATGAATGAATACGCACAGAACTAAACTCTTTCTTTTTTTAAAGTCCCATTTTAGATAGATTTAAACTATGAGTTTTGAATCGGCTCTAACATAATTTTTTTTGAAAGCCATAAATTTTTGAATCAGCCCTAGAATTTTGAATTGGCCAAAAATTTTTCTTTTTAAGTTCCTGAATAAATTTTCTCTTATTTTTAGTAATACAGTAATACAGCCATAAAGAAATATATTTTATGTTATATTTTTTTAGAAAACTACCATGAATTTATATTATTTTCCAATTAAAACAATTTTTTTTAATTAAATGTTGTTGTTGTTGTTAAGTATTCTACATAGCTAGTAGTACATAGAATAAATTTAGTAGGTACCTAAGTACCCAAATGTAAAGCATCACCTTTTGGTGGAAAACT